TGAATAGATGTGCGTGGGTAACCCTCGTCTCGCGGCTAAACGACGTAGCGCGGCTAGGAAGCCATCTGATGTTAGATCGCTTACGATTTCGAGGTGTACCGCCTTTATCGACATACACACGAATATGCATACGTAGACCTTAACACGCGTCTTATTACGAAATTTTCGTTCCTTAATGTAAAACGGTCCGCAAAAATCAATCCCAGTATTAGTAAAAGGAACCGCTTCACGAACTCGTACCGCGGGAAGATTTCCCATTTTTGGTTCGACAGTGCTGGCGTCAAACCTAGTACAACGAATACATCTACGAACCACCTTTCGCACCTGATTTTTATCATCAAGCACCCAGAATCACTGACGCAGCGTAGCCAACGTACTCTGAATGCCCGACTGGTAATTTGACTCATGTATTTCGCGAATGATGTTATCAGTCAACTGATCACGGCTCGGAAGTAAGACCGGGTGTTTTTGAGAAAATGTTAGTCTCGAACCTTGGAGACGACCTCCTACTCTAATTAATCCTTTTTCGTCTAGGAACGGATTCAAATTGGCGATCCTACTTTTATCCGCGTGATTCTTAGTTTTGAGACTTTCAATTTCGCTGTGAAATCGATTCGCCTGCAAAATCTTCAAAATTCGTATTTCGGATTCGACGATCTCTCTAGCGCACAACGCCCCGACATATTTGTTACCGAGACGGAACCGAAGGCAATAGGCAATGATTCTGTACTATTTAGCATAGGATGAATATCTATTTAGAATTCTAATGTTGTCGGATATTGACGTTAAACACATGTTTTTCTTTAATTCCGGAACTTCACATGCCTGTACGACCTCGTTGGGCCACCCGCCCTCGTCCTTAATCAGCCACAACGGGCCCGTACACCACAACTTATTTTGTAAAAAGGCGAGAGGTAGCTGACCCCTCGAAATTGCATCTGCTGAGTTATCTGATGTACGGACGTGACGCCATTCTATGGAGTCGGTAAGATCTCGAATTTCCGATACTTTATTCGCGAAGAATGTTTTAAGTCGTTGGAGGTCAGTCTTCAACCAGTGTAGTACTATGGTTGAGTCGCATCAGAGAAACACCCTGTTGATTTCGAGTTCTAGCGCGCTAGCAGTTTCGCGGAGCAGCTGTGCCAATAACAAGGCTCCGCAGAGCTCCAGACGCGGTATGGTTACGGGTTTTAATGGTGCGACACGCGACTTGGAACACAACAATCGAGACGTCGCGTTGCCTTGATTATCTTTCGAACGCACATAAAGACAGGCGCCGTAGCCGACATTGCTGGCGTCGCAGAAACCGTGAATTTGTATATCGCGGTGATTCGTTATTAGTAATTTACGAGGAAATGTCACCCGATCCATGATCTCTCATTGCCGCGTAAACTCTAACCATTCAGTGTATATTGTTTGTGGAACAGGCTTATCCCACGTTATTCCGCACCGCCACACGTTTTGCATTAACCTTTTAGCGAGTAATATAACCGGACCTAATAAACCTGATGGATTGTAAATTTTCGCTATTTCCGATAAGATGTTTCGTTTTGTTACTTGATCTGAACTTTTAATCGAATTGGTTGTATAACATATTTCATCGTCCTGCGTACTCCACGTTATTCCTAACGTTTTTAGCAGGTCCGCGTTTAACTTAAAGCTCGCATGTAGTGCGTTGGACTCTAAATCATTGATAATTCGTTCGTCATTGGATGCCCACTGCCTAATAGTGAACCCTCCCCGCGACAAAAGTTCGGTTACCTCATCTCGAATTAATCGGGCCTCGTCTATAGTATTGGCACCGGTTAGCAAGTCATCCACGTATAAATGTGACTTAATAATGTCGGCCGCCCTAGGATATGCATGGCGTTCATCCTCGGCTAGTCTTTGAATGACGCGAATAGCTAGAAAACGGTGATGAAGAGACACCGAAA